ATTTTAGACTTGTGCATCATCTTGGTAGGACTTGCATTCCATAGTTTGTCTTTTCTTTGGCAGAGGTATCTATGGGGAAGAAGGACTTACCAGCCAAAGCATTGCTGTTTCTATTGAGAAAAGGTTAGTGAAAGTACATGTCTCCTTCATTGTGCCATAAGGAGGCAAGACATGGGGTCATCCTAACCTCCTGTACCTCAGAGTTCCTCTGCTGGGCACGCTTTACTGAAAATGTTTTGTCTCCAGCTCTGGCAATCTTCATCCCAGATACCTTCATCTTCATCTTCCTTGCTGATTTTAATATTCTTGGAGTGGGTCAAGAGAGAGGCAGCTTTTAGGCAGCTGGGCACGTTGAAGGCCAGGACCAAGACCATGAACTGAATCCAGCACTGAGTGACTGAATGCTGAGTAATGCTGTGGTGTTTTCTTGTCTACTGTTCTGCTTAGGAGACAAGATGCAACATTTTGAGCCACACTCAACTCCTGGAAGCCTCCCAGTGTCAGACCCAGGGAAAAAACATGGCCGTAGTCCAGCTTTGAATAATAAAGATATGGATCATTGTGACTAGGTCTACATCTGTGAGGAACAGGTTCACTCTACTTGTCCACTGGAGAAGGGAATAGATATTTCTAGCCACTGCTGAAGCCCGGCATTTCAGAAGTGGAGATGAGTCCAGTATAACTTCTAGACTGTGCATGTCCCTCACATTCAATAGGCAGACCCCCTCAGCTAACAGGAGTGCTCATGGATTCTGCTAAATATCTGAACTCTGGGGTGCAGTGGCAGAATTCCCACATTGGTAGCTCTCTGACAGCTGAAAGAGGAAAGCAGTGTGGTGGTGGATCTTTTAAAGGTCTGCTCTAGCTTACTTGAATCAGGCAGCTTCTTCAAAGGACATCTACTAGCTTTTCCCTACTCCTATGGCAACTAATACCCTCTATGCAGCAACACAATGCTGACTTCTGCTTGCTGCTTGGCAGTGGACGAGGCACAAAGAACAGGGCCACCACTGTCCAGCCCTGGATCCACACTGCCAGCTAAGGATCACATTTATATCAGGACTAAGGATCTCAGTACCTTTATCTGCTTCATGAGGGTCAAAAAATGACCTCATTGCAGACCTTGGCCTTCATCTCGTCAGTTTCAGCCCCTCACATACCTACCATATCAGCACAGGTACATCAGTTAGTCTGTCCCCTGACTGGCTTGTCCTTTTGCTTTTCAAGATTTTCAAAAGTGACTGGAGATTTTGGGTGTCACAATTTCCGAGTGCCCAACTGGAAGCAACTTAAAGGGACCTGTTTTCAGAAAACACTGATTTCCCAACCTCTGAAAATCAGATCCCTTTAAGGCGGTCTCCAGTTGGGCACTAAAAAATGGCACAGAAAATACTAGTCACTTTGAAAGTCTTGGCTAGCATGTGATTTGTTCACCTTTGGGGATGGTCAACTGGTCATTGCACTTCTTCAGCACAGTTTCCCATGTATTTTTATATTGATGCACTTTTTTTTTTTGCATGATTGGGCTCCAGGGTAGAAGAAACAGCTAGAGAGAAAGAGAATAGAATAGAATTTTGTTTTATATCGCCCCTTTCTTTGGGAAATGTACTAATGAGCTTTATAAGGCAACAAATACCGTAAGATCCTGGCAATATAGTGAGTGTATAAAGCCAGTGCAGTAACCATGCATTTAAACATGTGATATCCGTGTGTATGAGTGAAAGACTTTTTCAGATGTCTTATAGATCTCTTAGTGTACAGAGAAGAGCAGAACAGAATGGGGATTGATTTAAATCTCTTCCAAGAGATGGTCACGCTAACATCACAGTATATTGAGTGTAAAGCTCTATCCCCATAGGATACGTGAACTCACAAGGGAGTGTGGAGTGGAGTAATGTGTGTGTATTATAACAGCCTTCTTATGCCATTAGCTTTTGGGCTAAAGGATAATGATGGAAATAGCTGCTAAATATATTTCAGTTAATGGGGCTATATGGAAATTCAAGCAATAGACCAGAATCAGACATCTCCTCCCCTCCCAGATCAGAGCAGCCCTGAATTGTGGTGGGGTTGAGATCTGGATTCAGACTCTGTCAGCCTCATCTCTATTGAATTCAGATGGTTATATTACGGGGAGAGCAGTATTTTATCATGGCTATATGATTTTCATGATGTGTTGTGATCTTCTTCATTCTTTCCCAGTTGCCAGAATACATCTATGCAAATTAATGAACTGTTTGTTTTCAACTGCACATTGAAGAGATTTACAAGGTCCAACAAAATTTGTTTTAGGTCAGCAATTTAATAAAGCTCCATACTGAATATGGTCTTAACTCAGAGGATGAATGGTTTTGTTGGTGCACTGGGAAACATTTGGACAGCTGTTGTGATTTAATGACAAGCTCTGCTTTAGGAAGCTATAGAACAGCATTTCAGCAGAAGAAAGTCATGAACGTATGGAAGCGAGGGTGAAACTAAGCAACCTTTTAATTTTTTTTACCAGTTTGCTAGCAGTTCCCAGTTCCCTACTGGCACTGAATAATAGCATTCTGTCCTGCCCTTACAACACTGTGTAGGGGAGTAAGGAGGCTTATTTAGCCCCACCCCCTCCCTTTCACTTTTGTAGACTGTCTGCACTGTGTGGAAGTGGGGGGCTGCAGAGAGAGACAGGATGGCCCAGTTGTTGGGTGCTAGCTTAGGACATGGGGTAACCCGCTTTCAACTCCCAGCTCTGCTACAAACTTCCTGTGTGACCTGGGCCAAGTCACTTGGGGCTAGACCCACAAAAGGTAGTTAGGCTCATCAATGTGATACTTAACTTCAGGCACCCTGCCACCTCCTGGAATCCTGAGCCTTGAGTTCGGCACCCAGATGCTCCTGTTGAGATGCATGGGGAGAATTAGGAGCCTTAACAAGGGGATGCACGGAAGCCAGCATGCTGAGCAGGGAGCTGCCTAAGTTAGATGGTGATAAATGCCAAGGAGAGGAGTGTGACCTATGCCCCGCCCCCTGGGCTGGAGGAGCTGCCTTCCTCTGCTCAGGATTCATAGCTGTGAAACCTTTCCTGGAATGAGGTGCCTAAGCTAGATCAGTCCTTTCTCAAGAAACATTGAGAAGGAGAAGTCCCTTTATACTCAATAGCCCAGTGGTTAGTGCACTCACGCAAGATGTGGGCGATCAGGGTTCAAGTACCCATGCTGCCTCATTGGGAGCAGACTCTTCCTCCTCCCAGGTGAGTGCCCTAACCACAGAGCTATAGGGTTTTCTGGGAGTGGGTCTCTTTCTATCTCTCAATAGTCATTGGGTCAGACAGAGGGTGAGAACTAGTGGTTAGTGCACTCTCCTGGGAGACCCATGTTCCAGTCTCTGCTCCAATGAATATTTAAGTATTTTATACAAAGTGGGACAGCGTCCACAGGAGAGAATGAATCTAGTGTTAAATGAAAGGAGTTTTCTAGTGACTGGACAGGTGCCTTGGAAACCATGAATTCACCTGGAAGGAATTGATGATTTCGGGAGAGAGCTGAAGGATTAAATTATTAGGACAAGAGAATTTTCTTCTAACTCTTTGATGCTTTCCTCCTAGGTTAAGCCTCAAGCAGTGTTCAGTACCATAGCCTATGTTACACCTACTCTATAGATAAACAGATTTCCATTCCCTGGGCTAACAAACCATATTTTAAAATGTTTAAAGGAGAAGATGAAAAGATGGCAATTTTGTTTTCTGTACTTCTGTAGTAGAAATTACTTCAGGGAGCGAGGAATAAACAGACAGGCTGTGTCTTTCTCACTCTTCAGCCATCAGCAACAGCTTGACTTTGATGAGCAATTTGTTCAGAGTTTGATGATAAAATCTTGTTGCTCAGTATTGTAATACGTTTCTAATTGTTTTTTTAATTGCATTCTCTCATTAAATTGCTTCTCTGGTGTAGAAGTTTATTTACAGTCTTGCTTTTCTTAAAGGAAAAGAATCCACAACAGGATTCTTTGGTGCCATCTCCAAAGAAAGAACTACAATCAATCAATCACCCTTTAGGGGTGATGGTGCTTGTTTCTTTCCATGAGAAAAATCTCCTTACAAGAGAATTCTTTGTATGTTACAATACAAAGCTGACATTCTTAAATTATAACCTTTTATGCCATGTTTATCTTAATTCAGAGAGAAACGGCGTAAACTACAAATTATTTCCAATTTTTCTCTAATATAGGAAATTTCGCATATACATTTGTGTGTGTTTCTGTACGTATACATAGGAGTATATTATAATGGTATAGAAAAGTTCATGTGTTTTCTAGTTTCAGCAGGCAATGTTAAATAATGTGCTCATTAAAATCTGCCCTGGAGTTTATGAACAGTATTAAACGGTGGGTAATATTAAAAAAGAAGACCTAAACCCCAAGAAAATCAAAATGTATCCTCATTCTGCACTTCTTTCTCAGATGAAACTCCCATTGAAATCAACTGTACACCACAAATTGCAACATTATTTACAGTGCGCATAACTCAAATGTCAACATTTATCATTGATTTCTGTACCACACCAGATTATCCCAGATACACTGTCACAGTTATCTCCTCTAACAGCAGAATGAAATATTGTGATATCTCTGCTATCAAGTCTGGTAACTATTGGTAAATAGTGACTTTTAAATGGTGAGCACTGTTGTCTGATATAGTTTTGTATAATGTAAATCACTGACATTTTATTGGAAATGATCTATGCTCAGACTTTCTTTGGAGAAGTCATGGCAAATGTCAGTCCACTTCATTGTGCTTGTTGCTTGATGAAAAGACTTGAGGGACTTAATCAAAACAAGAATTACACTCACCATCTGAAGCCAAAGATCTATGGTTAAGTTATGAATAAACCTTGTGGGCCTGGTCAAGATTCAGAGTCAACTTAAATGTGACGCTTCTGTACTGCAAGATATTGTAGATGGAGCACAGTATGTGAAGAGATAAGCCACTCGACTTCATCTTCACTTTGTCCTATTTGCAGGTACAGAAATGAACGTGAATATCAGCAGATGCTAAAAGAGACCCTTGAACGCCTTAATAAGGTGAGCCTGTTACAGTAGGAAGTGTGCTGTTTGCATCAGCTGCTTCCTTTCATTTCATTTACTAGACAAAATTGCTTTGATGTCCATTCAGTTTGGTTCGATTAACTTTTAAGCAGTTATTTTAGTTCTGATGGAATTTATTTTGGTAATATTATGTAATATCACTTCCCCTCTCTCCTCCCACCATAGTCACACTTACAGGTGCCCCCACAAATCATGAAATCACTACTTTATGTGTAGTGTTCCCATCCTCTCTCCTATTTCTGGCCATAAACTATTAGTGTGTGCAGGTAACTTTTCTGTCAATAGCATTAAGAAATCAGAATCTAGGATAGTGAGAGAATTTGGGACCTTTCCTCATTCTCCAGTGCTGGGTGATTTTTTTTCATCCTGTAAACTCTGAAGGGGAGCCCTTAGGCACAGATTTTCAAAGGTTGATTTCAATGTGAATTAGGCACCTAACCTGCTTAGGCCCTTATGAGAAGGCCATTAGTTGACTATCTGCATCTTTAGGCACTTAAATACCTTTGAAAATCTGGCCCTTAGAGCCTGATCCTAAACATGCTGCAGTCTGTGGGAATAGGTTTTGGAGTAGGCCCTTAGCGAGAGACCTATCTGATCACTAACTGGACTTATTGTCTCCTTTGTTATCTTGCATGTCCCTAGACCCATGGAATATAAACTTTGTAACTGATCCAATAATATGGGGCCCCTTTAAGTTACAGTTATGTGCATTAGTAAGTGTTTAGCTGGATTTGGGCTATTAGGCATGAGTTTGAGTTTACTGAATTAAATGAGAGTTTTTCTTGAGAACGGAGTTCAGGACCAGGTCGATAGAACAGACGATGGCTTGATTTACAGTTGTCAGTAGGGTTCCTTAATATCTAGACAAATATAGTCACAAACCAATCAATAAGAGAAATGAAAGCCCAAGAGAACAGATTTTAAACTCATTTCCTCTACAGATGTGTCTTGTGTGTTTTCCCATACAGTGCCTCATTTGCCTGGGATTTTTTTAAGCCCTTGACAGGCCTTTATGGCAACCTACATATCTCGTAAGGATCCTTCACTAAGCTTTGCCCTGCAAAGCATTCCTACGGTATATCTCTTGCTGTTGTGTGGCTCTGGCCACCTGTGGGAGAAGTCTACTGATATGATGATAATGATGTGGAAAAGTGGAGCAAAGATAGTTACATCTAAATATGAATATGTATCGTTTTGGCTATAAGGTGGAGAGAAATAAAAATGACTGTTCTGGTTGCTGTAAACTGCCACTGTCTGCATGGTTGAAAGCACCATACCAATGAGCTCCTTAAGAAAAGAGCTCTGGGCCAGAGGCAAGCAAAGTGATCCTAGAAAAAAGGCAGTTTTCCCTAATCATTGTTTTGTTCTTTTTGCATTTATTGACCACTAATAGCTGAAAGCCAATGTTGTCACACTGTTGTAATCTATAAAGTCAGGTGTGTTAAAAAAAAGGGGGGGGGCCAAAAATGGCTGAGAACTTAAAAATTGGATGATAACAGACCATGGATCCCAGTGATGATCGAACCTGGTGATATTCTAAACAAAAAGAGCTCTCAGCCATGCTTGTAGCTGTGTCCATCACTTCACACTGACTCAACAAACCTTCTAGGCTTCAGAGTGACACAGAGAATCCTGGAATTTTATTATATAGATTAGCAGTTCTTCTCACTGTGGAAGGGATCTCACTTAACAAAGATCCCGTCTTTATGTGTAGTGTCCTGTTTTTTAAAGAAATCCCTTTAATCTGATGTATTGTACTTATTGAGCTCCTGGTCAGAGAAACTGCATGAGTCTCTCCACGCACAGGTTTGTCAGTTTTTTGTCAGTCCTGTTATGACAGTCTGGGAGCTTCAAGGAGATTATCTGGCTTTGAGGACTAAAACTGTATTCTATCCTGCAGGAAAAGGTCAAGTCCAAGTTCCCATTAACCAAAAAAATAGACATTTCATTCGTCAATTCCTGCAGATTAAGAGGATTTTGAAGGGCCTGATCTCTGGCATACCTTGAATGCTGTTGTAATCAGAACCCTTGAGCAGAGGCTTACCTTTATGGAGGCAAACAACCCACTGATGGAAGCTTGATTTTGGTTTTGGAGTGCAGATGGGTCAATACCTACGGAAGGCCATAACACAGTTCCCTAGCTTGGCCCTGTACCAGTGTTGTCCTGTTTCCATGACAAAGAATAATACCCGGTCCTCAAACTGTGCTAGACAATCATGAGCCCAAGATGAGGGACCCAAATGTAGGCAGAGTGCTGAAGCTATTCTGTAAGTCATACAGTGAAGCCAAACGGTGATCAAATGAACCTAAGACTATTAAGGGAAAACACAGAAAATAGCAGATGAATCTTAAAAAGAGTTAGTGCCAAGCTCCCCAATTCTTATCGCGGAGAGAACAAATGTCTGTCATTTGTAGAGCAGTTCTTTCCAGTGCCTCAAAAATATGTGAGTGCTAAACAGCATAATGACTTGAGCTGGGCTTATAAAGTACCAGTTGAAATCAGTGGGAGTTAGGTGCCTAAACCCAGGGCCGCGGTGAAATCCTGGCTCATTGAAGCCAGCGGGAGTTTTCCCATTGACTGAGGTGGAGCCAGGATTTCATGCCTGGTATTTCATGCCTGGCAAAGGGCCACAGTCAGCCTGACTCTTTTGCAGGAGGAGGCCACAAGCAGCTTTGTTGCCGCTTGTCTGATCCTGACTTGAGACATGCAAAATTCCAGTTCCTGCATTTAAGCAAGCACAGGGACTCCCAACTTACTGCCCTAGGGACAGGGAGAAGATGGCCTCTGGCTGTCCGTGGAGCTGCCCGTGGATCCATCTGACTGCACAGCAGGCAGTGAAATGCACCCTAAACAGGGGGTATAGCAGAGAGCATGCAGCTCAGCAGCTGCAGGAGCTGTAGTAGTGAGAATGCTTCCCCACGCTCCCTCTGGGACGGTGTGATTCTGCACCAAGTCCAGCTCGGACTGTGCCTCTCAGGCACAACTGAGCCTTGAATTACTAGTGCTGTTTCTAAAGAGGTTAAAATGAAACATTTCCTGGCAGCTTTGTTTCCTGGATTCTTGTGTCTTCAACTACCGTGCAACATTTAAACATTTCTTACTGGAAACAGCTAACAAGATATAATAGCACCTCTGTACCTCACAAGGGTGTTGTAAGGATAAATACATTAAAGGTTATAGACTACTCAGATATTCCAGTAATGGGGGGCCAACCACGGGCAACAGATAGATAAAAAAAGTTCTGAAGTTTCTTGCTCTAACCAGTTTCTTCTATATCCTTTATCCCTTAGAGAAGAAATTAGTGACTGTGTTTTCCCCATTCCCAGACTTGCCCCTGGAAACAGTAGACATGATTAGATGGGAACTTGCTCACAAGGGACATCGTATGCAGTGCCAGTTAGGCCACTCACACGAATTTGGTGGCTTATGACGTTATGACTCAACTGTACTATACTTATCGTACTACAGCTACTTAGACTCTATTGGAGAGGAGGGGAGGTTCTGCTATCCTGCCTGAATTTATTTCTTCTATAAACTACTCAAGATAATAATGTTTAAGCTGAGCCTGAGTAGCCACTTATCAAAAGGCAGTCAATTAGCAGCCCCTTTTCTCCATTGTTTTTTCTTTGAATAACCATAGACTTTAAGGTCAGAAGGGACCATTATGATGGTCTAGTCTGACCTCCTGCACCACGCAGGTCACAGAATCTCACCCACCCACTCCTGTAATAAACCCCTAACCTATGTCTAAGCTATTAAAGTCCTCAAATCGTGGTTTAAAGACTTCAAGGTTCAGAGAAAGAAAAGGAGTACTTGTGGCACCTTAGAGACTAACCAATTTATTTGAGCATGAGCTTTCATGAGCTACAGCTCACTTCATCTGTAGCACTTCATCTAGCTGTAGCTCACGAAAGCTCATGCTCAAATAAATTGGTTAGTCTCTAAGGTGCCACAAGTACTCCTTTTCTTTTTGCGAATACAGACTAACACGGCTGTTACTCTGAAAAAAGGTTCAGAGAATCCTCCAGCAAGTGACCTGTGCCCCCCACTGCAGAGGAAGGCGAAAACCCCCCAGGGCCTCTGCTAATCTGCCCTGGAGGAAAATTCCTTCCCGACCCAAATATGGCAATCAGCTAAACCCTGACCATGTGGGCAAGACTCACTAGCCAGACACCCAGGAAAGAATTCTCTGTAGTAACTCAGATCCCACCTCATCTAACATCCCATCGGGCATATTTACCGCTAATAGTCAAAGATCAATTAATTGCCAAAATTAGGCTATCCCATCATACCATCCCCTCCATAAACTTATCAAGCTTAGTCTTGAAGCCAGATAGGTCTTTTGCCCCACTGCTCCTCCTCTTTCAAAGCTGTGATCTTATGTCTACACTGCAGTTTTGTCACCAAAAGTTATGCCATTGTAATTAAAGCACTTTAATTAAACTGCAGTTGCGTGTCCACAGTATGCTCCTTGTGTCGGCACAGCACATCCACACTAGCAGCTCTTGTATCAATACAGAGAGCAGTGCACTGTGGGTAGCTATCCCACTGTGCACCTGGCTGCAGGGTGCTTTGGGAAGGGTTTGCAATGCCTCATGGGGCAGGTACAGCGTCACATGATGCAGGTTTCCCAATCCCATTATTCCATGGGCATCCTAGTAGATTTCCAGCCGCTTTTCAACTGAAGTGGGTGGGGGGGAGGGGAAGAGTGTGTGACAGGGAGCGTGGCGGGAAGACAGAGACAGAGTGTGTGTTGGGGGAGAGTGTGTGCCCCTGCATGCTGTCTCCGTCAGTTCAGACAGCCGCCAGAAGCAACCAGTCCTGGGCCAGGGGAAGGGGAACACCCCTGACATCAGCCCCCACCTCCCTCCCTGGCTCAGCACAGCAGCCTCTCTCTCTCTCTCACAGGCGCACACACATCTGTCCCGGCCTGCCTGCGTCTGTGTTCCTAGTGTGGCAGAGAGCAGGAGCAGTC